TGCCAACCTGGTCGTCGACGAAGCTGCAAGCAGCGAAGTAGGCACGGCGCGCGCGGATCTTGGCCTCGTCTGGAACGGGGTTGTCCCACAGGTCGATGGTCTTGAGCAGGCGCTGAGAGTGAGAGTCCTGGTTCTCTTGGGCGATCTCAACCTTGGGCAGGGGAATGTCGACGCCCTCGTATCGGTCCCAGTACTCTTGGATCATGGTGTAGGGGTCGTGTGGGTGGGTCAAAGAGATGGTCAAGGCGAATGGCCGACGGGTCTCGGGGTCAGACCGAACGTAGTCGTAGAGGTACTGTTGAGCCTAAAGGTATGTGTTAGAAGACTTCCTTATATCGCTGGAGTATATTGTACTACTGAGATTCCTTACCTTGTGCATGACATCTTCGTCGTAGTCGAGTTGGTTGGATCGCACACATGGTCCGGCTTGCATGACCGAGGCCATGTTGTGGTACCACTCTTGACGCTCCTCTGGCTTGTCCCAGTTGACGGACCATCCCAGGTCGCCAGGGTAGATGTCGGAAGTAAGTCGGTGCTCGAAGCCATGGAGCTGGTCCGGGCCGATGAAGTGCATCTTTCCTGCGAGCGCAGTCTCGTATCCTTCGCGGCGGAGGTAGTGGGCGTAGGTCGGGATCTCTGGACTCAGGATCGAGGCGTTGTCGTATCCTCCGATCTTGGATGGCAACTGACCGCTGCACATGGTGAACCTAGACGGTGCACACAAAGGTGAGTTGCAGTAAGCGCTCGCGAAGTTGACGCCGGTCCTAGCAAGCTCATCAAGATGAGGTGTCTTGATAACTGACTCTGGGTCATTGAACTTTAGCATGGGTGCGGCCATCTGATCGGCCATAATGTACAAGATGTTGGGACGCTTTCCGTCTCCCGAAGTGCGAGCCTGAGTCGCATAGCTGTCCGATTGTTGACGAAGAGTCTGAGCAGTAATGAAATCGCTTCCGCCTTGCTGAGCATCTGAGAACCCGTTGCCGGAGAAGCCATCGCTACCGTTGACATGGCCGTTACCATTACCGTTCATGGCTGTAGAAGAGAAGGAAAAGTCGCCGCCAACGGGAGCCTGGGCCTCCTTGAGTGAGACACCGCCGTCCTGGCTGAAGGCTTGCTTGGTGGTGTGGACATAGGATGAGGGCGGCGACTCTGGGTCTAGCAAGAGACTGGGTGCCATACTGTAGTGGCAGTGGTTGTGGTGGTAGACTTGAAGCTTCGATGATATTGTAGGAAGAAGCAACTAATTCCTGAAAGTTGGTGAAGGCAGGAAACTTGGTGAGCAAACCGTGGTTGAGATGAGGGCAGCGGGACCTTTATAGATAGGGAAGATAAGAAGCGCGACGCCCCGGAAGTCGCGTCGGCCGCACGGTGTATGTGGGGAAGTGCGACCCTGACGCGCCTTACAAAAGGTTGGGTCGTGACTTCCAGCGGTCACGCAATCCTGCGCAATCCACGCTTCGAGTGACCAATCCCGCCCGAACTAGTCCCTTTTGGGCGATGGCGAAATCCCACCTCTACGAGCACACCGCCGTCTGACTTCAAAAGGCCCGACCAGCCGCAGTTCGATGTTCGATGCTGGAGGGATCATCATGGAGCGTTTCATCGAGCACGCGATCTTACCTTACGTCTTGGCTGGGGTATTCACCATCTAGCGAGCAGGGTTACATCAATCTAGAACAATATGATGTATCTTGTAATTCATAGTGATTGCTGCAAATGTTTCGACATGAAATTCTTTCAGTGATTTCGTCGTCGCCTCGCCATTTCTGCGTAACATGCAAGTTGTGTGCGCGGCCAGACTCTGGTAGCGCTCAGTCATCCTCCCGCCTTCCGCTGCAGGATTCAAGATTGCCACGCTGCATCACCCATAGGTAGCAAACCCGGCCAGATCAGGCCCTTTGCAATCATATCCGCACAGCCATGCAACAGAATACAGCATGTCTGCCCGTCGCTAGCGCATGTATTGCCAGTGTGATCGATCCCTTTCGAGGAGCAGCGACCACGGACGTCGAGATTGACAACGCCATGCATATGGTCCGTATGCAGGGTAGTCGATCAAGTCGGGACTACGTAACAGCCAAGCATTCAAGCCTGTACATCCGCTAGAATTTGAGCACATGAGGAATTGATGAAGTTTGGGTAGGAGTCGTGGAGGACTTGGCACGTCGCTTGGCACCGCAAACCTTACCTGTGTAGTGTGCAAGTTTAGTTGCTCATCTTCTACCTACTGACTGAACATCTTGACATTTCTGAACCAATACTGCATGCGATGGCTCAACTGCATGCTGCGCGTCCCCTTGCCACCGTTATCGCGAGCGCCACTCGGTCAACTCCTCGCGACCTCGCGACTCCTCGGGACGTCGCTCCTACGTGAACATGCATGGCACGCGAGCATTGAAGTCGTCCAGGCTCCACCGGTATACACTTTCGTGTTCGGATCATCTAGCGACCGGTGCGAGGCGGAGTGTCCGCATGTTCTTCCAGATCCCATCGTCATTGGCCTGCTGCGTCCGACTAGCCCGAACGAGAGATGTCTCGTCGCATTGGCGAATCAACACTATTTGATGCCAAGTGGCTGCAGGCTACTGATAGCGCGCTGCAGTCTCCAACGACACATGCATGCGGCTCTCCGAAGGCTCGCTGGCACTAGAGTCTTCGCAGGATTCACCGGACAGGCACGTGAACAGAATTGTTTTGTCGGCTCGACCCGTTTGTGGTCTGACTCCTTCGAAAGTCTCTCCGACCTGCACGCAGATTGATGTGTTGGCATCGGCCGCCGAGCAACTACTGTAATTGGACGTCGTATCAGTTCGGCCAGACTTGGAGCTGCCTCGTGGTACAGTCGTCGTTCGGTTAGAGAACTGCAGGGGCAAGGGGCCTTCGGAGCTTATCCATCGTGTCCACAACTCCAGATGCAGTTATCCCCACGCGATGGTCTTGATTCTCGACTCGAGGGCTAGATCGCGCGCTGTACATGCATGCTCGCTCCGCTCCACCACCACTGTAAGCAGCATACAAACAATTCTGGATTGAGTTTTGAATTGTTGGTATACCCACCCACACCTAAATGTCATGTTTACATCCCAAGTCCACTAAACTATCTAAGGTCGTCGGGCCCACAAAAAGTAGTTCACCACATTACAACCCAGCAGTGATATCACAACTATCCTGTCCTCCAACACCACGACTAGCACAAAACAACATCAGTCATTATGCCCGCCACTCCATTCTTCCCTGGAACTTTTCTCCCATCCCGGGCAAGAAATCCTCGCAATCTCGATAACAACCACCTCCCCCACTTGCGCTAACAACCACCCCTTTGTGCCCGCCTGGTACGAATCGATAATGAAATCTTGCAGGCCACAGTGCTGCGTCAGCCCGCCAACAGCATCTCCACATACGCTAATCGCCAGCATCCGCGACGCACGCACGACTTGCAGTCCCGTCCGTCAACGCACCGCCAATGTCCAGACATACCAGTCACGAGGACCCTCAAAACACCAAAACACCAAGGCAACCTAGCCAATCGCCGGCGCATCCGAAGACAAAGTCCGCGAGCTCAGTGTTCTTGGCATTTCCCGACCGACGCCCGATACTCTCGAATGACTCTTGATAACCAGGCGCCGGGTCGTCGCCCGAGCGTTGAGCGACGATCCGGTCGGTGAGAAAGCGACAAAGCGACGGCCCGGGACAACGACTCCGAGACGACCGACAACCGAAGTGCGCATAGTCGCCACTGAGCTTTGGGGTCCACATACGCTAGTGTAAGAGGAACTTCATGTTTTGGGAAGGTTTCGTGGAGGGGACTGATTGGTGGGTATGACGTCCAGCGCATACGTCGCGGGCCTTCCGAGTCGACTCGACTCGACTCGACTCGTGCTGCTGAGTCCTTGTTTGGCATGGTAATTCTCGCCGTAGTTGCTGATAATGAGAAAGCAGCCGGAGAGCTGCCTTGCTATTGACATGCTCGACGATATGGCTGCCATGACCCACCACGTGGCTATGAGACGCATCTCTCGCGATCAGCTGCTATGTTTTGCCCTTTTGATACGGCCAAACTAATGAGAACGTCAAGGGATTATGCTTCCCTTCCATCGTGAGTAGTTGTGCATCTTCGCTTTCTCGGTACAGGCTGCGCTCATGCGACTCATTTGCTAGTAGAACGGCTGAAAGTATACTCTATCACTCCCACTTGCGTAGTCTCCTCATGAACATAGACCCCTGCGATGACCTATCTACCAAGGTATCAATGCTCCGTACTCATCTTCATCCAGAGACTGGTGCAAGACTTCCACCTCCGCCCCTCCGCCTCCCCTCCGCCTCCCCCACCCACCCTGGTATGTACTTATCACAGCTCCATCAATGTCGCAAACCCAGATGCTAGCACCATGCCTGCAAAGACGGTAGCTTGAGAACTATAAGTATGACAAGATCGTGAGATCACATCGATCCAGCCTCATTCATTCTCCAACAAAGCATTTCTAATCAGCACGACTCCATGACCAGGACAGCAATCATGCCAACGTCAACACTCGACTCCCCGAATCGATGTGTCTGTCGTATCGACCTTGAAAACGAAAAGCGCCCTCTCTCTCTCGCATTGTCACGATGATATAGACAACAACAACAACAACAACAACATGGATACGTAGGCAAAGACGCTCGTCGATCACGATTATGAGTATAACATTATTATCATTTCGTTAAACGCAGCCCTTGGTACTTGGTGATGCGAAAACCAACTTCATACAGCGAAAGTCAATCAACGCATCGCTACCCCGGGGAAGACGTCCGGGAAGGGATAGCTTAGCTTAACAGAAAAAAAGATAAGCTTTAGACACGTTCTGGTAACCGCATGGAATCGGAGAGAGGATATGATGTGGATACGCGTACACGCTCCACCATGCTGGCGTGTGTGCCTTGCATTCCAGCCACTAGCTATCCGTAGCTGCGCTACCTCCTCGTTGCCTACCAAAAGACGTTCCACCTTCCCTACACTACACATTCCCAAAACCCTTCGAGTTCCTTATCGCCAGCCCCAACTTCCCCTCCAAAACCCGCCTATCCCCATAATCCGGCAGATACAGTTTCCCAAAACACGTGCTACTACTCGGCAAGCTCCCCGGGCTTCCCATGATCTTAACAATGTGGAACGTAATACTCTCGTAGCCCGTAACAGGCACGCGATCAGACGCCGTCACAAACTCAAGGAGGAGACGTAATTCTTCTTGGCTGTAATGCTCGACTACGTCCCAGAAAGCGCGGATGTTGGAGTGTGTGGGAGTGTAGCCGTCTTCGTATTTCGCGCAGCGTTTCAAGTCGGGGATGGAGATGTGCTGTGTGCCTTCGATGAGGTGGCGGAGGGAGTGTGGTGTGAAGAGTTGGAGGCTTTTTGGGTGGATGCAGGTGAGGAAGCCGTGCAGGAAGGGGATGAGGCCTGGGGCGACGGAACTGTATGTCAGGGCGCGGACATAGTCCTTCACATACTGTAGACGGTTTTCGTTGGTGACTAGACCGGGCTCTTCGATCGGCGCGTTTGATGTAGCGAGCGCAGGGAAGTTGTCGCCTAGGTTTTGGTCGATCGGCTGGCCGAAGGCTTCGTAGCTGAATACGTACTCGCGCATGAAGACGTCTGCGACGTCGCCGTCGCTCCAGGATAGGAGGGTGCGGAAACTTTCTGCTAGGCTGGGCCAGCCGTCGCTGATGTAGTCGATGGGGTCGTAGTCGGCTGGGCTTTCGACGCGCGGGTTGCCGGTGGTTTGGAGGTACTCGTAGAAGGCGAGGGGAAAGGTGATGGGTAGGGTGATGCCGTTGTAGACAGCAAGACTGAATAGTATACCGAGCATCTGGAACTTCCAGGGGGGTTCGAAGCTGCCTGGTTGGAACCATGTCATCCGCGTCTGTGGGTCGATCGTGAACATACCTAGCAAAGTTAGTCGAGTAGTTTGCAAGAGTATGATGTGGCTCACCATTCTCAGGCCTGAAAGCTTCACTCAGGACTACCCGGAAGAACTCATACGTCACGCCGCCATGATCCGCACCAACTTCTCCTTCGTTGTGGCCCATCTTGACCTTGAGCGGTTTCAGCAACATCCTCTTGTCTAGTCCCCACAGCTGATCGAGCGTGTCCTTCAAAGGCTCTTCGCGACTGACATCCAACACTAGATATTCACTCAGGGTAGTCTTCATTTTCCTCTTAATAATCCACCAATAAGGCTCTTTGAGGAACATCTGCAGCGACTTCTGCATTTGGTGGGTGCGCATAGTATGGTCGTACTGCTTCATCATTTCGGTGAAGTTGATGGTGCGGAAGTAGGCTACGAGATGCTGTGCGGAGAACAAGCATGGGTACTCGAAAACGTGTAGAGTATTGGGGTGATGCTCCCATGTGAGGTAGTTGATAGGCTCGTTTACTGTGTCAATGCGCTCATCGAGTATCGGCATTTCGAACATGTTGGAATGTAAGTGTAGAGATTGCCGCTTGGAATCTGTCAATATTAGCTTAGTTATAGTAGAAACATCCTATATGCTTACGAAGTTTGTCGAGGACCATCACGGCTGTACCAACGCTGCTCCATTTGTTGATTTCAGCCTTGCTGTCCCATTTCTTGACGATGGTGGTCCTCAGCCACTCCATAAAGGTAGCTGTCACAGTCCACCCTGGATCCCCATCGCGATCATGGCTCGAGTTCAGCCTCATCTTTGTCGCCATACCGACGCGCTCTACCACCTCCAGATGTTGTATGATCAAATCCACAAGCCCAACAGAAGGTGTATTTTGTTCCGACTCATCCCGGTTCGGTTCTGCGACGTCTAAACTGGCGAGAATATGTTCGAAACAAGTCCGCGTCCCGATAGCCCGAAGTAAACGATCGGCAAGACGCATTGCCGGTTCGTACTCCAACTCGTCGATGATGTCCATGTACGGATGCGCAAAGGCGTCGGTATTGGGAGTAGCAGTGGGCACCATGACACCCCAAGATCGAAGCTTCCGTATTTGTGCCCATGTGTGTGGCCATCCCAGCGGTACCAGTGATGTGAGTGCGTGTATGCATATCATGACAATATGAGCGGCTTCATGGGTGTCGAGATAGCGCGAGGCACCTTGATGACCACTGGATGACTGGTCGGAAGGACTGTTATTAGATGCACCCTTTCTTGATGGCCTCAGACGAGGACTCTTCTGAACGTCGAGTTCCGGTGGAGAGGCAAATAAAGCATCCAGAGCGAGCCATAGGCTATCGAAGATGAGGGCACCGTTGCGATGGTTCCAATCTCTAAAAGAGTTCGCTAAGCGTGATGAGTCGAGATGAGGTAAGGGTGAGTCTTTGAAGTCTTGGTTAGTATCATGGAATGATGCAAGTAGCTTTTCTGGGTCGCTCAGAGTATAGAACAGAGATCGGTTGACGAGGGGTTTCGTACGTCGCGTACGCCGCCGACGATCAAAGTCCACAACGTAATTGAAGTCTGTAGCGTGGCTCTTTCCATAGCGATGGACGTCCTCTTTCAGCTCATTCAGAATACTGCAATTCAATGTTGAGATAACGGGTACACCGGATGATGAATGTTCCTCAACAGGGGTGTTCTTCGTAGGTAGTTCGGTTGGTGCTGATGATGGCTTCGCGCGAGGCGCAGCAGCCGGGTATGTCCCACCGATAGTGAAGCTTTTCTTTCCTGTTTTGGAGATTGATAGCATTGCTGAATCGCATGCGCCATCCACGGAAGTAGGATGCGGTGCTGAAGGATGTCTTTGGGTCATGCCGTTCGAGGGATGGTAGGGTATCCTATGGACATGGTGCCCGTTGGCCAAGACCCCGGCGCCAGCGTTGTCTGGCTGCGAACTCTCACGCGCGGCGGCTGATGCTTGTGAATTATGACGAACGATACGCGAGTTTTCATTCAATTCTGAAGCGTTCGAGCCGTTTGTACCAAGCGTTGGCCCGGTATTTGACTCCGCATCATGCCCGTCTGGTCGGGAAGGCGGTATAGCGGAGGTTTGAGTAGAACGAGCGTCATGTGCAGGAGTATGCTCGAATTTGCGAAGCGAAGCAAGGACAGAAGCAGGTGTGGGTATTTGCGTGGTATAAGAGTATATCATAGTCAAGCTGTCGTACAAGTTCTGACTAAGAGCCTTTGGGTCTTTTCTAGCTTGCTGCCGTTGCTTGAGGGCATTGATCAAGTCGCCGTCCAGCTCTTGTTGACCACTATTTCCCACATGACGTTGCCTGCGCTGTCGTGCCAGCTGCCATACCGAAGGATAGACAATATAGTCCTCGGCGGAGTCATTCCTAGCATGCTGGGCGCGGCTATCCGTACTCTCGAACGAGTCAGGCGCGACCTTGAGCTCGTGGGGGCAAAGGCCGCGATTTGGGTTGTCTTGACCGGCAAGGTAATGGGCTAGGGCGGTGGCCGTGAGCAATGTAGGCGGACGATGTGGTCTGGACGCGATGCGCTTGCCGGATGAGAGGCACGTGGGGGTATCGCAGTAGGCACTCTTACAGCCATGTAGGATCTGGGATAGGTAGCTAGTCAACAGTCAGCATTCGATCCGTCAATGAGAGGGAGTGACGAGCGCACTGTCGGACAAGATGTTGGAAGCGGCGCTGTCTTTCTGTCTGTGAGCATTCCAGGACGCGGTTGGTGTCTTGTACGTCTATCACATCTTTCCTACGCGAGCGGTTCGAGACACGTGATGACCGTGTCGATGGTCCAGCCGCTGCAGAAGCCGATGAGGCCTGGTTGGTGGCATTGTACGGAGCATCGCGATGGTGCTCAGTCCCGTCTGACATGCTCATATCATCGATGGCGATGTTGTTGCAAGAGAGAGTGGCGGCTAAGGATGCGATCTGGTATTGTATGTGCGAGTGTCATGGTATCACATAGCCACTCGAGGTATGCTATAGAAGGCGATAGGGCTGAGGTAGTGGCCGAGGGGTGCTCTTGCCCTGCGGCTCTAATCCGCTGCAGGGATGGCAGGTGCCAGTGGCTTGGCACAACGCCTGCCGATTGATGTCATGCCTGTGCGCTTCAATATTCGCCCCAAGTCGGCCTTTTGCGCAATTCACCATCTTTGCCGTGCGCAGGACTGCTGATAAGACGCAGAATCCGTCTTCCGCGCCTTCTCAACTTTGTAATCACGCCCTGCTCGGCCTAGTCGACTTTTGCCCCTCGGCCAGTCATAAAGTCGTGAAATCGTCGGCGCTACCACATCCCACACTCAACCCCACCTACCGCCTATATTTCTATTCCTCCCTCCGAGTGCAACCACACCGTCAACCTCCCAAACACTCGCAAAGATGGCGTCGCAAGTTCCTTCCCAGGCTAACATCCAGTCTACGCATCCATTCACTTGCAACACATGCCAGGTCGCCTTCCGATCGAGCGAGTTGCAGCGGGCGCACATGCAGACCGACTGGCATCGCTACAACCTCAAGCGTCGCGTGGCCTCGCTCCCACCGCTATCCTCGGAGATCTTCACCGAGAAGGTTCTTGCGAACAAGGCCACCGCTGCCGCCACAGCCGCCAAGGCGTCGTTTGAGAAACTGTGCACCCCATGCCAGAAGACATACTTCAGCGAAAATGCCTACAACAACCACCTCAACAGCTCCAAGCACCGCATCAACATGGCCAAGTCGGGCAGAGGCGCGCAACTAGACGACGCCGCCTCGGTGACGGGCTCCATGGTCAGCTCTGCCTTTTCGCTGGGAGAGTCCATGGCCGAGTCGGAAGCCACCACCGTCAACGGTGACAAGGAAGTTGCAGATGTCGCCGAAGGTCTGCGAAACGCGAGCCTCGAAGGCGAGGACGCAGCTGAGAACGAGTCCGCCGCCGCCGAAGACGACAAGAGCTCTGTTGCCGCATCGACCAAGCCTGCCACCGATCCCCTCCTCGACTGCCTATTCTGCAACTACAAGTCGCCCAACTTCCAGCTCAACATCACCCACATGGGACGATACCACGGCATGTTCATACCCGAGAAGGAATTCCTCGCTCAACCCGAGGAGCTTATCAAGCATCTCCACGAGAAGGTCCACGCCTACCACGAGTGCCTCAAATGCCACAAGACTCTTCACACCGCCTCTGGCATTCAAACGCACATGCGCGACCGCGGCCACTGCATGATTGCCTTCGACTCGGATATTGAGTTGGTCGAGATTGGCGAGTTCTACGACTTCCGGAGCTCTTACCCCGACGCTGCCGACTTCGACGAGATGGCAGAGGAGGCTGAAGATTCAGACGATTCGTCATCTACAACAGGAGGCGGAATCAAGCTCGGTGCCAGGCGCGAGACGAAGACCACCACAGAGGATGACGCAGCCATGTCGAGCAACGCCGAGGAGGACGCAGGCTGGGAGACCGACAGCACTGTCTCGAGTGTACCGACCGATGAGATCACAGCCGTACCCATCGACCGCAGCCACCGCCACAAGTCACTCAACAAGTCGAAGCACCACAACCACGCCGACCCCCGCCCACACCGCGCTGCCGACGGCTTCCACTCCCACGCGCACCACACACCCCAAGCCGTCTACCACGACGAATACGAGCTTCACCTCCCCTCCGGCCGCACCGCAGGTCACCGCTCACTAAACAAGTACTACCGCCAAAACCTGCGCAACTACCCCGGCGTCGCCGAGCGCATGGAGGAAGCCCAACGCGCCCGCATACCCGGTGCCATCACCGCCGGCGACGAAGACGAAGAAGACCAGGACGGCGACGTCACCATGGACGGCGAGGAAGGCGAGGAGGGCAGCCAACTCCAAGTCCGCGGTCGCGGCCACGACAAGGACCGCCAGCTCCTGTCTCGCGCCAACGGCGGGCGGGGTATGGTCGGTGTCACCGACGCCAAGAAGAAGGAGATCCAAGCTGTCGAGAAGCGCGATAGGAGGAAGGAGCAGGCTGCTCGCAGTCGCTACCAGGCTAATGTTGAGAAGGCGCAGAACTCGCAGAAGCACTTCCGCGATCCCCTTCTGCAGTAGTTGGAAGAGACTCTCGTTTGTGGGCGGATTGGCGGTTGCTTTTGGGTTCTTCTTTTTCTTTTACGTACGTGTCTTTTTAACGAAACTTTTATGAGCATGGGGAGGCGTTTGCGAGGAGACAAAAGGCATTACACCTAGTGACTAGAATGTCGCAGACTCTGTGATACACTTTGGAATATGAATTATATTACAGAAAAGATTGAGCTGTGTAGATGTTTGGTGATTTTATCGTGACCAGGTACTGCGTTTATGCTACGGATGTTGACACTGATACATCGACTTCATATCCTTGACATTATCCTACGTTTTCCTACTTCCCTACATCCACCAAATCACATTCAACCATCAACCATCAACCTTTCATCCCACATCCAACCATCAACTTTCCCCCAATAACCCCCTAACCAAACTACTTCCCACCCCCATCACCTCCCCCATCACCTCACCTACCCTCCCCCTCCCCCCTCAACCCCGCAGCATGCACCTGCCTCCTAATATCAAACAACGCATCATCAATCTCCCTCTCCTCCTCGCGCCCTAGAACCAGACTCGGAGTGCGGAAAAGATATTCCTTGAGGCTCTTGAGCTGGTTGATGATGCTGCGTGGGGTGAGGATGACGCGTTCGGCGAAAGAACGGGTAGGCGTATCGGTGCCTGTTGCTGAGTGCTGGGATTGAGGTTGGGATTGTTGGTGTGGGTGTGAAGGTTGCTGAGAAGGTGCGATTTCGGGTGCGGCGTCGACTTCTGTTTCGCCTTCGTCTCCGGCGTCAGACTCAACGCCTGGTTCCACCACACTCCCACCCCCCTCCATCTTCCCAGTCCCAGATCCAGCCGACCTCGGCCTCGGACTAACCTGCACATGACTCAATCTCTTACTCCCACTACTTCCCGGCGTCGATCTTCTCGCTTCACTGACATCCTGATCCGCATTCTGTCTCGCTCGTTTAGGCGCTGGCGTTTCCGTTTCATCCACAGAGATATCCTGCGTGTTTTCGACGTGAGAGAGGAGGGATTGGGAGCGGCGCAGGTTTTGCTTGCGGGTTGTTGATGCGGGGGCGGGGGTGGGGGGTTCAGTCGTGTTGGTGGAGGAGGAGGTGGTGGAGGTAGTGGTAGTGTGTGTAGATTTACGTTTCTTGCCTCGCGGGTTGGAAGGTGGGACTGGGGCAGCGACGGTGATGTTGTCGAGGATGTCGGTGTCGGAGGGGTGGGATGGTTCGGGCTCTGGTTGTGATACCGGGGCAGGAGCGGCAGCAGGGGCAGGCGCAGGACTTTCTTGCGTCTGTTTCTTGCCGTTCTTCTTGTTCTTTGCGGGTGTGCGTCTGGGTTTCTTTCCGCTTGGGGGTCGGGAGGGACTTCCCATGGAATGGCGGGACGAACTACGCAGGGAGTATGGTGTTCCTTTTGCGGAGCTGTTGTCGAAAGAGTCGCCTACTCGGCTTGTGCTGCTTGTGTTGGCTTGGGAGCTCTTGCGTGGAGACCGGCGGGCAGGGCCGCGGGTTGGTGTCTGGGACTCGTCTACTTCGGTGTCGCTACCAGCTTGGTCCTCCAACATTGATGACTGTGGATGTGATGCGGCATCGACGTAATCGGCATTAGAATCTGATTGTGCGGACTCTGTCGCTTCTGCAGGAGCATCATGTACCTGCATATCGGCGTCGATCTGCGCTGTGAGTTGCAGGTCTATGGTGGAGCTTGGTACGTCTGACATGATCGTGTCTGAAGGAAGTTCAGCGTCTATTTGTGTGTTGTCGTGGAGAGCAACAGCATCAAGCAGTGCTTCCTCATCGATTGTGGTTCCTTCATCAAAGGAAACCGAAACCGAGCTTTCTGGTTGACGGTACTCAAAGCTGGATCCTACTAGAACGTCAGGCTCGCTTTGCCTGTTGTTAGACCTGTCGTCCTTGCTGAACTGAGGCGGCGAAGAGTCCAAGTCATCGTTCGCAAACTGTATGCTCCGCACGGCCGTCGGCGTTGCAATGTCTGTGTCCTCGCTCACAATATGACGAGTGTTCTTGCGGGAATGTGGAGTTGGCGACGATCCAAGGTAGCCGTCCATAGGACCCATGGCTGCGAGAGCTTTTAGTGGAGTTGCCCGAGAGGCGGTATCTGGCAGATCATCTGCAGTCAACGCATCTGAGTGTATCTCCATCGGAGACGGTACATCCTCTGGCTGTGGTGAGACAGCACCCATCTTGGCAAAAATACCACTGCTGAGCCTTTGACGATCGATCATCTCTTTTTGGCGGTCGGTCAATACTTGCGATTCTTGCTGGAATGGATTTGACGGCGAGGAAACGATAGGCTCGAACTTGATCTGAGAGTCATCGTGGCGGAGACGAATCTTCGGGGTTTGTCGCGAGGGCACTCTCCTTGTGGCTGAGGTTGGTACGGCTGGAGATCGAGACTTGGATCTTCGCGACGCTTTAGAGATCTTGAAGGGCGAGGCCTTTACTCGCGGGCTCTTGAATGCACGTTTGACTTCGTCTGCGCTCGTATCGGAGTCGTAGAACGAGAGCTTGGTCTCCTGTTTTGATGTTAGTGACGTTTTGGAGGTACTGATTTATGCACTTACAGCATCGTCTTCCCGGACTTCCAGTGAGGGAAGAGAAAGCTCGACACTATTCCGTAATTGGCGCAGAGCCTGCTCAAGTCGAGTGGGGTATCGCAGGCTATCCTCTTTTCCAAAAGTGGCATTCCAGGTCGCAATAGAGATGTTGACGATGCTTCGGCGTCTGCTTAGGAAGCCTGCAGTCACCAACGCTTGTAGGTGAAGCAGCGTTTGGCTGTCCTTGCGCGGTAACCGCTCTACAGCTTTG